GGAAAGTCTCATCAGCATAGCTCTCTACCTCCCTTAGCTCCTCCAGTTCAGCCACTCTGGCCTCCAAAGCCCGAACTCGGTCTCTGAGGGTCAGGAGCTCCTTGCAACGGGCGCACACATACACCACCCGCCCACAGGGCAGGTAATCATACATGTTACACTCGACGCAATAAACAGGATAGCCCCCACTCTGCTGCTGGACTTCTGTCTCCATGTTTGTAATGAATAAGTTTAAGTACAAACTGGGATTCTTTTTAAACTTCTGGAGTATAGATTATTCTAAGAGTTAGGTTTTAAAGAAGGACACAAGTCACTCGTGCCCTCTAAACTCCCCCTCCAAACTTTCCTGTTACCTGTTCCTAGTCCCGCTCTCCCTGGTCGCTGAGTGACAGGCTTATATAGCTCTGGTAGCCCCTCCCCCTGACTGAGGCTCAGCCAATTAACAGAGGCTTCTAGATTTCAAACCTTTTAGAAGCTCCTTCAAACAAACAAACCAACCAACCAAACAAACCAAACAGACAAACACAAGCTCAGCACACTGCATATAACTCCCCCACACACAAACACACACTCCAGACAGCCACTTACCACAAGGGTCCCGTTTTTACTCCTCTTTTACCTGGAGAACTCCCTCTCCAAACTCTCCTGTTACCTGTTCCTGGTCGCGTGATTACCAATGTTGTCCACTGAAAGCTCATTACAAAGGAAATAACCAAGCACCCTAACAGCAATTTTAGGTCCTTTAGCTAGGAAAGAACTTGCGCTAGTGACACAGCAATGAAAGGCTCCATATCTCAAGAGCTTTCTAATTTCCCTTGAAGTGTATCAGCAATGTTCCCAACCCCAAACAAGAGTTTGGTAATCATAGCAACTATATTTAACTTGCTGACTTTGGGCAACTTCTAGTTTTAAAAAAAAAAGTCTGTTTTCAGAATAGCAACATACCCAACAAAACTCCAGGAGACCTAGAAAACCTTTTAGAGGCTTTCCAAGTATCCCAGCCTTGTTACAGCATTTGGATTACTTACTTTTGGCTGATTTGGATCGTGTGCGTATTCCCTCATCCATATTGAATATTTCTTCACCTTTCACCCTAATGTCCTGCAGGCGCTTGTCATCACTGTTGATGCCATACTGGAGCAGTTTACACAATGCTACAGAGCTGAGGAGGAAAAGTGTAGTGCATGAGCCTCCCTCATTCATATACATACTCCAAAATTTGTGTATCAAATTCAACTTTATTCAGTTTCCAGACTCGCTCTCAAAGGTCAGTTAATGATAGTTGTACAAGAATTCAAAAAATGAACAAATATGCCACATCCACCCACTTATTCTGCTCATATGGTTTTGGCTACAGATATTCGGGGACATGAGTCCCTCCTCGTCTTCTTCCCCTTTCATCTATCACAAAGGACTCACATTAGTTATGATTTACCTCAATTTCAAGAATCACTCTCCTCTCACAAACATCATGGCATCCCAACAACTTGGTCAAGAGGGCATGAACAAGATGCCTCATTAACAATTTAGGGGTAAAATGCATGTTCCCCAATCGTGTTTATAGCCCTTGTTCCAAACTGACATCTACTCATTCAAAAGCACCATTATAATACACATTGGGTTCAAAATGTGTGAGGTGCTTAATAAATAACACAACCGATTTCAGAAGAGTTTACAATCTTGGTGTTATGAGAGAAGACAATGGATAACTCTGTGAACATACATTCAATGTGCAGCAGTAGTCAAAAAAGCTAGCAGACAATCATGAATCATTAAGAAAGGGATAGAAAATGAGACAGAAAATACCTTAAAGCCTCTATATAAATCCATGGGACACCCACATCTTGAATACTGTGAGCAGATGTGGTCACCTCATATCAAAAAAGATCACAGCATTGGAAAAGATCAGAAAAAGGTAACAAAGATTAGGCATACGGAATGGCTGCAATATGAGGAGAGATTAATAAGATTGGGACTTTTCATCTCAGAAAAGAGGAGACGGGGGGGGGGGGGGAGAATATGATAGAGGTCTACAAAATCAAGACTGACGTGAAAAAAGTGAAAGAAGAAGAGTTATTTACTCCTTCCCATAACACAAGAGCTGGTAGGGGTCACCACATGAAATAGGTAGTATATTTAAAACAAACAAAAATAAATATGTCTTCACAATACAGTCAACGTATGGAACTCCAGTATATAGAGGGAGAAAAGCCTGTTGAGAGTCTTTGGGTTATGTTTAGAGGTGGGAGCAACAGAGGTGATGTTGTGGTTGGTGTCAGCTATAGTTCTTCAAACAACTAAGAGAAGCTTCAAAATCACAGGCCCTGGTTCTCATGGGGGACTAAATCATCCTGACATATGTTGGGAGGACAGTTCAGCAGTACACAGACAATCCAAGAAGTTTTTGCAGAATGTTGAGGATAACTTCCTGGTACAAGTGCTGAAGGATCCAACCAGGGCCCCCATGCGCAGCTCGACCTCCTGCTCCCAAAACAGGGGGGAACAAGTTGGGGAGGTAGATGTAGGTGGCAAGCTGGGCAGCATGAGATGGTAGATTTTGGAATCCAGACAAACGGAAGAAAGGAGAGCATCAAAATACACACCCTGGTCATCCGAAAAGCAGACTGACTCCTTCAGAGAACTGATGGGCAGGATCCCCAGGATCCCCAGGGACTGCCAGTTCTCCTGGACATGAAGGGAAAAGGAGTCCAGGAGAACTGGCAGTATTTTAAAGAAACCTTACTGAAGGCTCAGGAACAAACTATCCCAATGCGCAGTATGAAAAGCAAATATGGTAGGTGACCAGATTGGCTTACCAGAGAAATCCTTGGCGAGTTTAAACACAACAAGGAAGTGGAAACTTGAAAGATGACTAGGGAGGAGTATAAATATATTGTTCGAGAATGCAGGGGAGTAATAAGGAAGGTAAAAGCACAATTGTAATTGCAGCTAGCAAGGGACGTGAAAGGTAACAAGAAAGGTTTCTACAGACATGTTAGCAATAAGAGAGTGATCAGAGACGGTGGGGGACCCTTCCTGGATGAGGGAGGTAACCTAGTGACAGATGATGTGGGAAAAGCTGAAGTACTCAATGCTTTTTCCCCCCCATCTTCACAGACAACGTTGGCTCCCAGACTTCTGCACTAGGTCAGTGTTTCTCAATCAGTGGTACGAGTACCCTTAGGGGTACTTGAGAAGTCTGGAGGGTACGTCTACACAACTGAAATTTGGAGAAAACTGAATTTGTTTTAAGTTTTATAGCGCTTTTTTAGGGGTACTTTTTACACCCCAAAATTTCAGCGCCCACCTGAGTGTGATTAAGTTGTTTAAACAAATGTGTTGCAATGGTAGAAAATAATGTGCATCCTAAAACTGTAGGTACTGGGGTACTTTTTTTTTTTAAATAGGGGTACTTTATATAAAAAAGGTTGAGAAACACTGCACTAGGCAACGCAATATAAGAAGGAGGTAGGTAGCCCTCGGTGGAGAAGGAAGTTACTCACGTTGACGCAGTAATGATGGTTCTTTGAGATGTGTCCCCCCTTGGGTGCTCCATGGTTGGTGATGGGTCATCACAGTGCCGCAGATCAGAGTTTTGAGCAGCAGTAGTCAGTTGGACCGCGCATACGCGGCAGGCGCCTCGCGGCATTCGTGCCATTTTGCACACGTGCGCTGTCCATATCCCGCCAGTTCCTCTCGTCTACCCAAGTATCTGGAAAAAAGGTAGTGAAGGAAAAAGACTCTAGAGCAGGGAAGAGGGCGGGCAGTGGATCATACACAAGGACACACATCTTGAAGAATCGTCGTTATTGCACCAAAGTGAGTAACTTCCTCTTCTTCAAGCGATGTCCCCAGGGGTGCTCCACTGTTGGCGACTTTGTAGCAGTACTTGAGAACATCTGGACAGTGGGTCCCAGAGTCATGGTTTGACTGTTGTTAAAAGCACTGCTGAGGCGTCAGCAGCCAAAAGGTGCACAATCGCACAATGCTTCGTGAAAGTATCAGTAGATGACCGTGTGTATGCACAGCAGATGTCTCGGAGGGGACTCCTCATAAGAAGGCCATGGATGTAGCTATAACTCTTGTGGAATGAGCTCTGGGTTCTACTGGAAGCGACTTATTCCATATGGAGTAGCTCATGGTGATGCATGAAACTGTAAGTCTCGAGATGTGCTGAGATAATAGTGGTTCACCCCTGGAGCAATCCACTAGCGAGACCAGTAACCATTGTGACTTTCAAAAGGGTCAGGTTCTAGCTATGTAAAAGGCGAGCGCTCTGCGTACGTCAAGGGAATGCAGGGTTGCCTCTTGAGGAGAGTTATAGGGCTTTTGGCATAGAAGGAAGGAAGGGTGATTGGTTTGTTCACGTCGAACTCAGAGCACACTTTGGGGATGAAGGCTGGGTGAGGCCGTAGAACAGTAGTCTCCAACCTTTTTACACCCAAGATCACTTTTTAAATCTCAGAACAGGCGAAGATCTACTGCCCCGCCCATTCCTTGAAGGCCTGCCCCTTTCTTGAAGCCCCGCCCTCTCTATTCTCCTCCTGTCCATCACTTCCTATCCTCAACCCTTACCTACACACTCTGATAAATAGTTTATTTTAAAATTATGCGATACATAAAATTAAAATCAGGTGTTTATAGTTATGAAATAAATGGTCTGTTTTTTATTCATGCTATTTAAATCTAAAATGAAGCATTTATAATTATACATTTTGTGGGGACAGAGTTCTGCGGCTGGGGGCAGGGGAGAGCGAACAGGGTGCTGGGAGGGTGGGGAACAGGGTTCGGGGACAGAGTTCGGGGAGTGGGGCGCCAGTGGAGGCAGAGTCCCCTGCATCTCCCTCCTCCCAGGATTCTCCCCTCCCCCCAGGGAAACCAGCCCGTGCCTGCCCCGGGGCCGACCCCACGCGGCGCAGGGAAGCCCCAAACGCGCCTGCCCCGGGGCCAACTGCCCCTCCCATGCAGGGAAGAACACGCATGCCTG